CTGCACATAATTGCCAGTGAAAAAATGTCAGAGTAACAGAAAAGGCCTATTTATGAACTGGTTTAAAATCACACACCACTTTTATCTGCTTTTCAAAGTAAATAAATGCTGTGTAATGACACTGGTGTGCTGCTTGGCTATCTTGCAAAAATTACAAGTATTTTCTCTGCCACATTGCCAGAATGAGATTAGTCAATTCCCTGTGATTTAATGCTCATAAGGCTTTGTGTTAAAATTCTGCTTGTTCTTTTTGACAGTAGCATAAAATGTGCGCTCACACATCTATCACATCAGTTCAGGGTTCTGCATAAATATATGAAAAAAGCTATTTAATCCCTTGTGATTAGGTTGTGTTTTCAGTATAATAGAGCTACAGGATTACAAATTATTCTGTCACATTTTTTGGTGAGGGCTAGTTGGAGATAAATTTCCTATTTTTTTCTTGCATTTCATGGGGTCAGTGTAAATACAGATTCAAAACACGCACACCTCAGGTGCATCTACAAGTGCAATTAATATGTAGCAGTTTGCACTGGAGTTTATTGCTTCCAGGTGCAATGTTTGAACATGCGCCCAGGACTGCAGCACATTGAGCTTGGGTGGAGCAGCCCTGGTTGGCAAGGGGCTGCAGGGGTCAGCCTGCCAGACCAGGGCTGCTCTGACCTGGCTCAATGTGCTGTGGAAGGGCTGGCTGGGACACAAGGGGCTAGCCCCACAGTGTGGGGCTAGCTGGCAGACAGCCCCAGTATTGAAGCACCCTCAAGTCCCAGCCAGCCCCATCACTATCTACATATACAGTTCACTGCACATAACTACTCCACTGTAGGACAGTACTATCCTACAGCATAGTTAATTAGTTTACTGTGGCCTAATAGCACTGCACATATAAACAGCGATGCTTACTCTGAAGCTAATTAGTCAGCTCCTTAGTAAAGTGTCTTGTGTAAATGCACCCCTTTTGAACTATTCCTTTCACTAGGGTTAATTTACATGTTACACTGAGATCATACTAAGGGCACTTAAAATGCAAACATCCACACATTAAAGCTTGTTAACTAATGCTAAGTGCCCTCTGAGCATCTCAGAGGTACACCACTTCAGGCGAGGGTTAACTCTGGGCTGTGCTACCTGGCTTGTCTTAGAGTACTCCATGGAGATGAAACAAGCACTTTGCAGTCCCTTGGCACCCCAGGATGCACTGCTCACAGCCTCCTCCCCCTCCGGAGCAGTGATAGAGCCCAGGTGCCCTGGCATCTAGCCACCCCAGTGCTTACCAGCCCTCTAGTGGGAAGTCAGAGATGCGCAGGCAAGAAATGGCATTAACTTTTAATGAGTGACTGCTCACAGAACATCCTAAATTTAACAACACTTAGCATTGTGCAAAAGTAGTATGGTCTAAGTGTAATGTGTAAGTACACACACACACATACACACACGTGTTTGGTATGCAGGCAAAAGGCTATCCTCTGCACAAGCACATATTAACAAGGCATCTTTTCCTTTCTCCCTCTTTCTGACAAAAGCCCCCAGGCTAAAGTTTTGGGGCCAGTAACAAGAGCAGTTCAGTTAGCCACAGACAATTTCAGAATACATGAGCATGAAGTGTTCCAGCATGCTATGGTGGCAGACGGAAAAAAATATGAAGAGGTCAGAGATGAAGAGGAAAGCAAGAAGACTTCAAAATTCAAGCAGTGGGGTGTGCAGTTGAACACAAGGAGTTTACAGAGCAACCTTCCAAAAGAACTTACAAGGCCAAAGTGATTTCCTCAGGCAAACACTTGAACCACTTGACACCACTTGAACATCAACTTTTCTTGTTTTTAAAGCGTGACAGAGTAACAACACTGAGGGAAACAGGATATTCTAGCCAAGTGTTAGAATTGGATTTGTAACATGAACATCACTTACAGAGAGAACATATAAAGTGGTTCCAGCATGACTGGCAGTTTAGACAGAAAAGTCATGCAGAGCTCAGAGAGGGTCAGGTCAACGCATGCCCTGTAAGACTGCATCTGCATGATGACTGGTAACAAGCCTTCAGCTCACTCACAGCAGAGTTTTAAAGTTGTAGTGTAAACAGGACTTAAATCAGCACCTGGGTTGCACTATAAGCAATGGGGCCCAACCCAACTGGTCCCATGGGCCAGTAAGTGGTGCAAGGCTAGTCTATGGCTGGATCTGGCTAGCACTCAGGGCCGATCCATGGCCAGACCCAGCACGAGGCCAGTCCATAGGCTGACCCTGCACACTGGATCCAACCTGCAGACCAATCCTGTGTGCTGAGTCACACTACAGACTGACCCCATGCTCTGAGTTGGGCTGTGGACTGGCCCCACGTTCTATGTGGACTGGCCATGCACTCTGACCATGGCCTGCAGGGCTTCCCAGAGGCATAACAAGGCAACCTTGATGCATGGGACAGTGTCAACTGCCACCATGCCAATGACAGCTGTGCAGTCAGCTGTTGCTGTGGCCATGGCTAATTTTGCACCCCTCGTCTCCCACCAAGAGTGGCATCTGGGGCTGCTGCCTGGTCACCCCCTGCCAGTTACACTACTGGGGTTCCCCACAGGTCTGGAAATTTTGCAGAGAGGGAACAAGGGCAGCATTAATTGCCACCAGAGTCATTCAGGGTAACCCTGGCAATTTAATTCTCTGTTCCCAAATTTCTAGAGCCATGGGGAGATCCACAGACCACAGATTGAACATCATTGCACTAGAGACTTGGACTGTGGAGGATTTTAACTCCATACATTTCAACTTTTGGCTTTGTCTTACGGCAGTTAATGTCTTGACTTCATTAAGCTGTAATTTATGCAACAATGCCATGGGACTGAAATACCTGCATCATATTGGAAAACAGTGATTTCTGCTGCATTTGTTATCAGGAAGTGTCACCTCACACCCCCAGTGATCCCCTTTGGGGAGTGACACAGATACATTTCTGTATAAGCAGTCAGGAGGGGCAATGTTGGGAACAGTCTGCCATGTAAGATTGGACCAGCACAGCAAAATGCAATGATGTTGATATAAGACCCAAACCATGCCTGTGCCCATGATATGTATAACAAAGCTAGTGATGCTGTCTCCCTTACCACTACCACACAGTTCATTGTATGATCCAGGATTGCTGTCACTGTGGCTGTCTCCCCTAGCAATTTCCATAGTGGCAGCAACAGGGGGGTTGGTAAGCTGCATGATGATAAAAGCCACCTCCAGATACAAGGGAAGTGATGGTGAAATTTAAGCACTAGATTTCCAAGTAGATGCTTTTTATACTGAGCTGTGAGTAGGCCTTAGCTATAACTTGTTACTCAAAGAGTGGGTGGGTGAGTCAGTCAGTCACTCAGCAGCAAGTTAAGTATAACTTCTAGAGATGAAAATATGCACAGGAGTTTTAAGTTCTACTCTAAAAAATAATTCTATAAAAATAGCATATTGTGGAGTTCTGTACTGCTTATGTTTCAGTGATTCCAACTGTCTGCCCTACAGTCTCATTATGGGACCTGCTAGCCAGAGTGGATTCTCTTTTTCTCACGTCATCACCAATAATAAAGGTTATGCATCTCAAATTCAAGTGCCTGTGTAAGCCAGCTTTCTTCATAGTACTTCCTCACGGACATGTGTGAAAATCTATAGCTATCAAAAGGGTTGCACAGATGGAAACTCCAGATTCAGAGTTGAGGCAGGAATCATGTCACTTCTAAAGCCCTCTGACATGAACAAAAACATTTTTATGCACAACCAAGTCTTGCTATCTTAATTCCTGTCCTTAGCCTGCTAAAGTCCCTGCCCCTTGTACTCATTCTGCTAAAAGGAGAATATCTTCCTGTTCCCCCCACTTTTCTAGCATTCATAGGTCCTGGATCAGAATTCAGAAAATGCCTCCCTGTGGCCTATATGTGACCACAGCATAGAAATGGCAACTTGAAATTTGTTTTCACAAAGCATTTACACAAGTGGGCAAACACATGTGATGGTTACACAATTATTTTTTTTTTCCAATAAGGATATGAAATTTGCTTGACAGAACAAGGTTTTGTGCCTATCTTGGATTGCACAAAGAGGGAAAGGGCATGAAATACTCTTTGCACAAAGGTTTGCTAATGAGAGGAAGACCATAGGATCCAGCCCTGCTGCACACTAGCCCCTCCTTCAAGGTGCTCAGTGACCTCAAGTCTCAGTAATGCAGGTGGATCTCAGGGCACTTCTTACCACACAGGACAGTTAGTCCCGGATCCTCAAAATCAGGGGTGTCAAAGATACAGCCTGTGGGCCAGATATGGCCCATGGAGCTTTATCTTCTAGGCCCTGGTGCTGCCCTTGGGTCTGAAGTTGATCCATGGGCAGCACATAGTGGGCACTGGATTGGCTGGGGATGCACATTTCATGTGGTGCCTGCTCTAGCCAGTCCAGGACGTGTACCACACATGGCACTTACTCCGGCTGGTCTGAGACTTGTCCTGCACACGCACCCCTCCCAGCCACTCAGGGATGGAGCACTGCATGCAGCATGGGTACCAGACCCAGACTGGCTGGAATGCCACATGCAGTGCTAGCCCTGGACCAGCTGGAGCAAGCACTGATCCAGCATTTGGGGGAGGGATGAAGGGAGTGTCTGTGAGCCTGATCAGGCTGGTGGAACTGGCCACATGCCATTCATCCAGTGTATGGACCCACCTTACACTACTCATCCAGGCTGCGGAGTCAGATAAGTTTCACCCCCTGCTTAAAGGTACTGAGGTGCCTTTCTCCCATTGAAATCAGAGAGAGTAAGGTACTTCAATAACTTCAAAGTACTGGACTTCTTGCAGGATCACATTCTTAGGGGTTTTTGTAAGTAAATGCATTAGAAAGCTTATGTGAATACTGCAGATTATTGCAGGCAGATAATAGTGACAGATGAGTTCCAGGATCCTTAAAAATGTGAAAAAGTTGCATCCATGCATATACATTAACTGATTACTGTGTTTGGGGGATTTTTGACTTTTTCCTTGTAGGCCATCCCAAACAGAGGCCAACAACTCCGAAGAATGGAATTTCCTCCAAACCAGATCCGCAGACTCGAGAGGCTGAACGGCAATTTGTCCAGCAGCTGAAGGAAAAGTGTGATGAGCAGTCCAAGCAATTAAGCTGCATTCACGAGGAACTGAAAAGAGCCAGTCGTGGATTTGACATCTTTGCCATAACAACACAGTATTTCTTTAGGAAGGTAAGGCTACTCTATGCAAGCTACCACTAGAAAGCATTTATTACAGTATCTAACCCTATCCCTGAACACTAGTCATTGACCTGAGCTGCTGCTTATTAGTAATGATGATGACGATAATAATGATGCTATTTCTTCATTCTTGTCTCCCTGTTTTTGGGAACCATATAAGCATATAATTTCATTGTAACAGTTACCATGAGAAGGGGGTTATAATTAGATACAATATAGTTGACATACAAAGATCAGAAAATGGAGGTAGCAGATGAGTGAGGTAACCAAGGCCTGTGATAAGTGTGTAGTGGGTTTAGAATTTAGGGTTGGTGGTGGTAGCCGTGTTGGTCTAAGGACATGGGCAGACAAGGAATTTAGGAAGAAAATGCCTCAGAAGCAAAAAGCCCTGGCATCTCTACATTAGAGCTCGGATGGACAAGACTGACACTTACAAAGGCGAAAAGAATTAATGCATTTAACCTGTTAAAAGCTGACAGATAAAAGAAAAATATTTTTTTCTACTGTACTTGTCCATTTTCTGTTCACCAAAGGGTTCGGCAACTCAGACTTGTCTTCCGAATTACAGTGGTCAGTCTTACAAAACTGCCAATTCCCTTAGAAGGGAGGTGCCCACCCCCTAGCCCACAGGCTACATCCAACTCCCAGTGTACTGTCATCTGGCCCACAAGGCTCCAGTCCCCACGAGCAAAAAATTTGGCAGTGGAGGAGTGGTGGCACTGCTCCCCTGCTGCCAAATTTCTGGACCTGTGGGGAGCCCTGCAGGCTGGATAGTGTGGCCCTGTGTGCTAGATAGGGTGCACCAGGCAGCGCAGGGCCTGATCCCAGCCTGTGGGGGCCAGCCAAGGCTATGAGGGGCTAGGTGAGGGCAGTGCACAGGGCTTCCGGGCTTGATCCTGACATGCAGGGTCATGTGGGAGTGAGGAAGGAGGAATGCAGGACCTCAGAACCAAATCCTGGCCCATGGGGGCAGTGCGGGACCCCAAGGCCCAATTCTGGTGTGTGGTCTAGAGCAATGAATAATGTTACCTCACTGTTTGCAGCATTACTTAAAGGAGGAACAAAGAATAGGTGGAGAATACTTCCAGTCATCAGAAGTGTCTATTTACTAAACCTAGAAAGATTTTCTTAAGGTAACCAGCCGTCCTGGGGCTCTAAATGATTTTAGGTATTACTTGCCTCAGAAAACATGTGCTCTGGGTCATGGTTCTGGCACATCAGGCTGAATTCACCGGCTGTATGTGTATTGTACTACTCCCATTTGTGGGTTTGCGTTCTTTGGGGCAAAGTAAACAAATGCCTAGTGCACCTGATTTAGCCCTTGCGTAACATTCACGATTGTGAGTTTCTTTCTGCTTTAGGAGCAGACAATATTACACGTTTGGTGCTGCATGTTGGCTCTTAAGACTTATTGACTTTCACTGGAGCTCAGGCTCCTAATTCCCTTGGCAACCCTTGAAAATGTGATCCGTGGTGAGTTTCTGTGCTGGGTCTCTGTCCCAAGGTGAAGTAACGCAGCTGCTTCTGCCCTTGCTGCTTCTGAAAGTTTGAGCAAAGTCATGTCTGCTGGTTTTGAGTGAGGGAAGCATGAAAGCAATTCACTTTCATAAATTTCATAGACATTAGGGCTGGAAGGGACCTCGGAAGATCATCGAGTCCAGCCCCCTGCCCAAAGGGCAGGAAGTCAGTTGGGGTCATAGGATCCCAGCAAGATAAGCATCCAGTTTGCTCTTAAAGGTGTTCAATGTAGGTGCTTGAACCACCTCCGGGGGCAGGCTGTTCCAGACCTTGAGGGCTCGGACAGTAAAGAAATTCTTCCTTATGTCCAGCCTGAAACAGTCTTGTAGTAGTTTATGACCATTCGACCTAGTCGTCATCCCTTGGGGCGCTCTGGTGAACAAACGTTCCCCCAGATACTGGTGGTCACCCCTGATAAACTTATAGGGGGCCATCAGATCACCCCTGAGCCTGCGCTTTTCCAGGCTAAAGAGCCCCAGGGCTCTCAGCCTGTCATCGTAGGGTCTGCTTCCCTGACCTCTGATCATGCGCGTGGCTCTTCTCTGGACTCTCTCAAGCTTCTCCACATCCTTTTTGAATTGTGGAGCCCAAAACTGGAAGCA